AATGGGGAAGATAAGAAAGCCCTGGGCGCTAATTAATAACCTCGTGCTTTCTGGAGGAGGAAGCAGGCAGTGGTATCATTTGCCAAACCTCCAAAACAGTCAGTCTCATTTAAGGTGCTAAGCAGGTGCTGGCCCCCCTTTAGGGGCTCTTAACTTTCCAGGAAAGAGAAAAAGAATGGGGGAGTGTTAACTGTTTTATCCTCTGATCTGCGGTCTGACCAGCGTTGAGTTGGGGTATTGCTTTGGGGCCATTCTGCACACAGGAAAAACCATGGAAAAATCACATCAAGGGAAATAACAGAAGATTACATTTGGGGGTATTCACCACCTTCCGGGAATTATGCTTGAAAGTCTGAGCTTATTTCATATTCACCATGATTCTGTAAGGTAGGAATAATTAGATCCCTTACTCCTTAAGAGGTGAAAACCAAGGTTTTCCAAGCTTCAGCAACTTGTTCAAGGTCACTTGGTCAGAAGGCTGTGTGTGTGGACAGCTTGGGGGTTGTTCCGGTGCCACTGCCCACCTGGGATGACTGCCCTGGGTCGCCTGAACACCTGAGGAGGTCCAGTTGTCCAGCCAGGAATGAAAGCCATGCATTTGGCCTCCACACAATACCACATCCAAAGCCTGTGTCCAGGGCCCTTCCCTGTCCCAGAGCCCACTGGCTAATCGGCTCTGCTGGCTTCCCCAAGCCAGGTGGGGCTCCACTGTGACAGCAGACCTTGAATGATGGACTTCTTTCCCTGGACTTCCAGGAAGACTTCACAATAGGATAGTCTCAATTATAGATTTTTTTTCTTCACTGGGTTTCTTCTCATTCCTTTGGAACCCACTAGCTGACTGATGGTAGCAGCAAAACAGTTGAGAAAGTAGCAAACAAATGAATCTTAACAGAGAACTGGGCAAAGTGTGATCTTGAATAGAGCATCATTATGTCTTGAGATATAGAGAGGCTTGGCTGTGAATGAAATAATTCTATTATCTCTGCTAGGGAGATTGCTTTTGGCACATAATGATAGGGTTAAATCTCTCTCTGTTCCTGGGTTATAAGTGCTCTGTGTACTAGACAAATTTCAAAGCAAAGGGATGTTCAAAACCAGACTGGGTACAGGTAATTTTAATACAAATAACTGTTGCTTATTACATTGCTTACTATGTTCTAGGCCTTGTTCTCAGCGCTTTTGATATACTTTTAAGCTGCTTAAACCTCACAGGGCCACTATGCAGTTGGTAATATTGTTATCTCCATTTTTAAAATGAGGAAATGAAGGTACACCATTGGGAGTAGTGGAGGTAGACTTTGCATAAGTCCAAATGGGCTTCAGGGTAACACTTCTTTCTGTCTGGGTAGGAGAAATGAAGAAGGAAGAAGAGGAAGAGGGAATCCTGAAGTGCTTTCAATTTCAATGTATTTTCTCCCTTACTTGAAGCTGCCCTCTGTCTTGTTTGGAAGCAAGCAGGCTTGATCTAAACAGGAAAGGGGATGGGTCAGGACTCAGAAGGGTGATGGAGTTATCCATCAAAGTTCTTGGCCCTGGAGGGCTAAGGTTCAAACAAGGGAGGAGTTTGTGCTGTCCGATGTGCTGACTTCTAAAGTGTTGTAGTATCCTGGTATGTGGGCCTCAGTAGGCCTAGAGGATGGAGGCACACATCTTGCATCACCTGGGTCTCTGCATAGCCCTGAGGTGGTTATGGGAACCTGCCTGCCTTCCCACCCTCAGTGCATCTTTCATCAGGGGCTAAGAGCTGAGTTTAAAAACACGTGCAATAATTGTAAAGGGGCTAAATTCTCTACAATAATCCCCCTCCTTCCTCGCACCTGCTTCTACTCTTATGAACCATATTCATCCCCTTGTACCCTAGTGGGGGTGATTCACTGTGTGCTCAGGACATAATTCTGCTCACATGGCCTGCTTGTTTGGAATCAAAAGCCCAGGCTGCCCTAGTCCTGGAACGAGATTCTCCAAGCGTTGAAAGGGCCCTTTTTGGTCTTAGTAAGCTGTGTTGTTGAGCACTGGACACTGGTTCCCGATAGTCCAAACCCCCTGCCTTCCCTAATCACAGGCCCGAGGGAGCAACAGCTGAGAGTCACATGTAGCTGTGATTGAAATAGCAACCACATCAAGCCAAATGGACTCCTTTGGCCTGCTCCCTTCCCCCATACTACTTTTTATTTATGAATTCTGTTTTTTTGTAAGGCTGAACATTTGAATGCACTCTGTGCTTTCTGGGCACCCCTCCCCTCTCATTAACATTCTAATTATTACCAGAGCAAGTAAGATGTATGATCAAAGGAAAACAAAGCCTAGAAGTACCTTTTGTTTTAAGGTGACTCATAGTTCAGAGAATGCATCAGAACAGCTGTAATGGAGCAGTCGCAAAGGTCTGGGGGGTAGCCAGGCTCTTGCAGTAAGGACATGGGTATCTTCAGTGGCTTTCCTGGCAGTCCCAGTGGGATGAAGGTCTGGAGAAATAGTCTCCAAACCAGTTAGTCATGAATTCATAGCAACAACTATAAAATGAATTTTGCATTAAGCACTTTGGATATAGTCACGGTGAATGCATTGACCAAACCCAACAATAAAATGTCACCACTAGTATCAATCTAGATATTCAAATTTTTGTTTCTTATATTTTAGATAGTAAAGAAAGATTAAAGTGAGCTGTGTCTTCTCTTGGGGCTCCCCCGAGGTACATATACTCCACCCATGGAGACCTTTAGTCTGCAAGTGAAACTGGGATCAGTGTGAAGGTGAAGAATGAATCTCAACTCCTTTGGCCAGGGAAAGGCACTACCGTCTCTGTGCAGGACTGGGCAGGAGGAAGAGGAGGGCAGTATAGGTGGCCAGGATGTGAAGACTCTTGGCCAATGGAGGCCCTACCTGATCGCCAGGGAAATGACCAATGAGGGAGATGGGCAGGACCCCGAGAGGGTCGCAAGCCTTCTCAAATTTGGCTGGATGTGGAACAGCATCCCCAGAGCCTGTGACCTGTGAGAGCACCCCCCACGGGCCTGGGCTTCTGAACAACCCAGGTCTAATCCAAAACCTGGCACATGGTTAATGTTTAGGCTTCACCTTGGCAGAACTTCACTAAGATGAGAGACAATCACAGCTGTTCTGTATGCCACTCATTCATCCCCATATGTCAGTTTCCATTCCAGGTCATGCATCAGGCAAACAGGACTAACAGAGGGTCCCAGCAGCCTAATCAGGGCCAAACAGGCTGAGACGGTGGGAAAAGTGCCAGGCTAGCCAGTGGACATCTGGACCCAGGTCCAGCCAGGCTCTGAATCTGACTGGGCTGGGACCACAGGCAAGTCCTTCCTGCAGGCTGCCTCTCCCATGTATAAAACCCCAGCCTGGCAGGATCATTTCTCACGTTTGTTTCTAAAAATGTTTTACGGTATAGGGATAGGCTAACGCAGGGGCTGCATCCCCATGTCCCTGCAGGGAACAGGGAGGGAGGGCTGAGCTCCCGAGGATGTAGCCAGTTCCTGAAGTCACAACCTCTGCGGCAGAAGCCAGAGATCTGCACGCATGGCAGCTGTGCAGCTCCTTGATGCTTCAGTCACTGCACAGAGAGCCAAACAGAGCTCTCCTGCTGGCTTGTGCACAAGTGACCTTCTGGGGAGCCTGCCAGGCAGACCATTGCTATAGAACCTTCTGACTTTTCTACTCAGAGCTAGAAGAAGCCTTGGCTCACAAGTTCATTCTTAGAATTGGGGAGGCATGATTGGAGAGAAGTCTGCCTTTAATGATGTCTCAGAAAAGGACCAGAGCCTGGTATAGCAGGCTATGCCTACACTTTCAGTGCTGGAAACTCCTATGGGCGCCAGTTTGAGTTCTAGCTGCTCCACTTCTGATCTAGCTCATTGCTTAATGACCTGGGAAAGCAGTAGAGGATGGTGTGGGTCCTTGGGACCCTGCACCCATGTGGGAGACCTGGACAAAGTTCTTGGCTTGATTGGCTTAGCTCTGGCTATTGTGGTCATTTGGGAATTAAATCAATCAAGGGATAGAAGATCTGTCTCTCTTTCCTTCTCTCTCTATAATTCTATTTTTCAAATACAAATAAATGAATCTCTTTTAAAAATAATGTCTCAGAAAGGGAAGCATCCAACACAGCTTTCTGGGAACCATGGACACCTCCTAGGGTCAGGTAGGGACAGATTGGGAGTATAGCAGTGAGTGCCTGCCCTAAGGCCCACTGCAACACAAAGGTCCCAGTGGAGCAGGCATGGAAAAGGACAGCTCTGAGAGTCCTTTGTACTGCCTTTGAAATACACCAAGCAGATCAGGCATCATCTGTGTACAGGTGTTTCTTGCACCCTACTATGTGGAGGGTTCTGTGAGTGCAGAAGCAGTCAAGACTCGTCTGGAAGAATGTGCTCAGCCCCCTCGACTTGAAGTCAGCTCCATGTTTATTGCACTCCTGCCCTGATCACAGTAGCGGGAAGAGACTGGGAGAATGAGGAGACAGGCAAGAAGCTAGGCCCACCAGCTTCTGCCCACCAGAGCCTCCCAGCCTGTTCAGGAAAAGAGCCATGTACCATGTACAGAAATGACTCTGTTCTAAGTCTAGCTGTAGTAAAAGCTCTAATAGAAATGCAAACAGCATCCAAACAGGAACGCTTCATGAGTTTGCACATTTGCTTAGGCTGCCGTGATTGAAATTGCTTTTTCTTCCCTGGGCACACGGCAGCAGGCGGTAGGGAAGCAGCCCAGGTGCTCCCCAAGCTGGTAGGGAGTACAGATAGGGATCTGGGGGAACTGGGCTGACGGTGACAGCAGGCTGCAGCAGTGGCATTGAGTGGACAATTGCAAGTCAGCCAGAGCCCCTCTTTCACCCTGACCTGGTGGCTTTTCTCATAACCGTTCTTTTCTCTTCTTTCGTCTTTGTCCCCCTGCATGTGCCCCGCTTTCGGCATCCTCTCCGCCCCCCCTCCCCACCTCTTGTCTGTCTCTGTCCCTCCCTGCCTGGTGCATGCCGAGGGCAGGCACCTCCATCAGCCTCCTTGCTGTGGTGGTTATTGTGTCTGGCGTGGCCCTGGTGGCAGTTTTTCTCTTTCTCTTTTGGAAGCTGTGTTGGAGATCCTGGAGGAGCAAGGAGACCTCCAGCCCCACGTCTGCTAACCCCACCTTGGAGGCCGTGCAGAGCCCCAGCCCTCCCGGCACCATGGCGGACAAGCTGAAGGACCCCAGCGGCCTGGGTTTCCTGGAAGCAGCTGTGAAGATCAGCCACACATCCCCAGACATCCCAGCTGAGGTGCAGATGTCAGTCAAGGAGCATATCATGCGCCACACGCGCCTGCAGCGGCAGACCACAGAGCCAGCCTCGTCCACCAGGTGAGGGGCGTCCTGGCTGCCCTATGCCATCCCAGCCTGTCCTTGGACAAAGGGCTATGTTCTGGGAAGGGGATACCAGGGATGACTTCCTGAGAGGAGAAACTGAGGCAAGGGAGTTCACAAGTGACATGCAGCCACCTGTGGTTTGTGTGGACTGGAGGCAAATGGCAGAGTGAGTCGGGGGTCTCAGGTGTTTGGAGAAAGGACAAGATGTCAAGCAAATGGAAGAGACTATGCAAAGGCCTCCAGCAATTTTAGTTTGTGACACATTTCCAGGGATGTCAGCTGGCGGTGCACAGGAGACCAGGCGAGAGTGCTGGCATGCTGGCAGGAGGCTGCTTAGAGGACTGGAAAACCTCTCCCTTGTGCCTGTATCATAGCAGGTGTCTATGACAGCCTTGTGCTGAACGCACGGTGCCAAAGCCTCCTCTACACACAGGCACTCATGTTTAGAAGGTGTGGAATGTGGATCTGTGAAGAGTTGTGTTTATTTCAACCCACAGGCTCTTATGGCCACCAAGTCCCTGCAGTGTGGCTCCTGGCTCCCTCCCAGGGGCCCCATGCAAGGGCAGGGGCCCTTGGGGCCAGCCTGGAGGCCAGCGGCAAGAGTTCTAGGGGTACATGGACACAACTGCTCTGCAGCTTCAAACACCTTCCCTAAGCCTCACTTGTCCCCACCCCCAAGCAGGACTTTGGACTCGTGCAAGGTGCCTGTGAGAAGCCAGTGGAGGAGTGTGTGTGATAATGAACCGTAACACACGCATATGTCACTTATTAGACACTGCTCTTCTTCTGAGCTCTTTGGTTGCAGTAATGTGTTTCACTCTCACTGCAATATTATGCAATTGTGATTTAAAAAAAACATTTATTCATTTTTATTTGAAAAAGCAAATTTTTTTAGGGCGAGAGAGAAGGAGAGACAGAGAAACCTCTTCACTCCCCAAATAGTTGCAATGGCCAAAACTGGTCTAATCTGAAGCCAGGAGCCAAGAGCCAGGAGCTTCTTCCATATGGGTGCAGGGTTTCAAGGACTCGGACCATAAGCACAAAGTTGGATCAGAAATGGAGCAGCCAGGCCACAAACCTCTGCCCACACAAGATGCCAACACCTCAGGGCAGAGGATTAGCCTGCTGCACCATGATGCCAGCCCTGCAATTTTGATTTTTATTATCTTTGTTTTTATAGCACAGAGAGGTTAAACAATTCACCCAAAGTCATACATCCAGAAAGGGACTAAGCCAAAATCAGCCTCTGCCCTGTGACTCCGACACCCATGTTCTTAACCACTCCAATATCTGCCATGTAATAAACACTGCATAGGTGGTGACTATGGTAGTGATGACAAAAGGCATGCACTGGGAGGGTGAGCTGTCTCCTAAGGGAGCTCACGGCTCAGTGAAGAAAACAGAGTCATGCCTACTAGCAAAGAATGCCAGGCAGCAGCTACCGGACAGGCAAGAAAAGCAGTGCTGAGAGCAATGGTTAACATTTACTGAGTTTAATATAGACCTGGCACCATTCCAGCTGCTTTCCATACTCGAAGACCTGCCCCACTCCCAGCCACCTTGTGTACAAAGTGTATGCACAGGAGGAGTGGGGTCAGCAAGAGGGAGAAGGGTGCTCCATGTGGGCTAGGATGAGCCAGTGCCACCAGGGCTGTGTCTACCTCCACTCGCTCCTCCCCTGATCTCACTCTCCCTGCCCACTTCTTTCCTCCATCAGGCACACATCCTTTAAGCGCCACCTGCCCCGGCAGATGCACGTGTCTAGTGTAGACTACGGCAACGAGCTGCCCCCAGCAGCAGAGCAGCCTACCAGCATCGGCCGCATCAAGCCGGAGCTCTACAAACAGAAGTCGGTGGACGGGGACGACGCCAAGTCCGAGGCCGCCAAGAGCTGCGGGAAGATCAACTTCAGCCTCCGCTATGACTATGAGGCTGAGACCCTGATCGTGCGCATCCTCAAGGCTTTCGACCTCCCTGCCAAGGACTTTTGCGGAAGCTCTGACCCTTACGTCAAGATCTACCTCCTGCCTGACCGCAAGTGCAAGCTACAGACCCGGGTTCACCGCAAGACCCTGAACCCCACCTTCGACGAGAACTTCCACTTCCCCGTGCCCTACGAGGAGCTGGCCGACCGCAAGCTGCACCTCAGTGTCTTCGATTTTGACCGCTTCTCCCGCCACGACATGATCGGAGAGGTGATCCTGGACAACCTCTTTGAAGCATCCGACCTGTCTCGGGAGACCTCCATCTGGAAGGACATCCAGTATGCCACGAGTGTGAGTACAGCTCTGGTCCCCTGGCTGCTGGACGATTAGCAGCTCTGAAGAGTGTTGGCAGGGGGTCGAGGGTGGAAGGGAAGACAGCCACCATGGCTTCCTAAATGGCTCTGTGCTTTAGGATGTGAAGCAGGACTTTCCAGTTTCCGTGGCTCTGTCCACCCTGAGCCATAGGATGGGGGAATTCTCATGAGGGTGGGAAGAGAGGGTATTTTATCTCATCACACCTTCTAGGGTGTGTCTTCTACCTGCTGAACCACAGGTTTGCCACCTATCAAACTGTGTGATGTATCCCTTTGGTCGTGGCTGAGAACTAAGCCCAGCCCACAGACTAAACGAGGCATCAGTGTCTACTCAGAGTGTCAGTGTGTTTTACACGCTTGAGCTAGGCAGCCACTGCAGGCTCTGTTCTTCCAGCTACATGAAGCTGTGCTTCAGCAAGAAAGCACTCCCAAGATTTGGTGGCCTAAGATAACCAAGGTTTGCTTCTTGTTCATGTTATGTGTGCTTTGCAGTTAGACTTGGGGCTCAGCTCTGTTGTGTTGCCCAGGGATCCAAGCCAACAGAGGCTCCCTCTCAACTTGAGCTCCTCTAGTTAAACATCAGAAGAGGATGTGCATATCATGCCCTGTTTCTTAAATAAGGCTTCCACGTGGAGGTTAAACGTGTTGCTGTCCTGCACGTTTCATTAACCAGAGCAAAACACAGCAACTGCTACTGTCCAAGGGGCAGGAGCCAAGCACTCCTCTCACATGCCCAGAAGCAGAACTGGAAGTGAGTGAATGACACTAATCACCACACACAGTGGAGCCCCATCCATGTCTTAAGCCTGTGTTCCCAGTGCAGTCTGGGAGTTGAGGGAGCCAGTCTGAAAGGAAACCTGGCTAACGCACACACGGGTGGGGGGGGGGGGGACAAGTGCTGGGCTGTTGATAGCCAGTTGAAGTTCCCTAAGGCTTCAAGGTGCTGAGACTCAGGAAGCACAGTGTCAGCACAGGGAACTGGAGAGGCTTGTCCAGAGTCCCAGAGCTTGGGTGGACAGGATGCTGCCATCCACTGCGTTGAGGAGCTGTGTGGTGCAGCCTACAGGTGCAGTGCAGCCTACAGGTGCAGTGGCTGGACCTCTCTCTGACCTGCAAGCTGGGACCCCAGCAAGGAGATTCCCACCAATGTCCTCTTTTGTCCGGAGTGCTAACTGGCTGAAGGTCTCTCTCTCTATCCATTTTTTAAAGCTTTATTTGCAAGATAGGCAATAGAGAGAGGAAGAGATGGAAGCTATAAGGGAGGAAGAGAGACAGATCTTCTATCCACTGCTTCACTCCCTAAATAGCTGCAGCAGACAGGACTGGCAGGCAGGTTGGAGCCAGGAGCCTGGAACTCCATGCGGGTCTCCTACGTGGGTGCAGGGACCTAATCACTCAGGCCATCTTCCAGCGCCTTCCCAAGGTGCATTTGCAGGGAGCTGGATCAGAAGTAGAGTGGTCCAGGAACCCAAATCAGCTCTCCAACATGGGGAGTTGGCACTGCCAGTCATGGCTTAATGCACCACCCCACAACACTAGTTCCTCCTTGGATATTTCTTGCACCATTGTTTCAGGGGAGGGATGACCCAAATCTGCTGGAAGACCCTTGCTTTGGTTCACTCTGAGTGCAGCGTGTCAGGAGGGAGGCTGGGACACAGCCCCACTTTTGTGGGTAGAGGGTACATGCCCTGATTTGTTCAGGGACACAGCATGGCAGGTGCTGTTTCTGCCTTAGGAAGAGTGCCTGGGTTTTTCATCCACTGGTGCTGACTTTGCTGAGTGCAGTCTGGTGTCCCAGTGCCTGCCTCACCTTTTGCTTTCCTGAAATGTCACTGCCAAGAACAGCACATGCAGCCGGCTGGCAACCAGACGGGGCAGGCTGGAATGGCAGCTGTGCACAGGCCCTGGGCCTAGGAGCTGCACTCCATAAATCACCACGAAGCATACATCTGGTGCAGTTCTTTCCTGTGCTCTCCCAAGGCAGCAGTTCTGCAGCTGTGATTGTGTAGGTAAAGCAAGGCATCTCTGTTCTCTCCATGAGATCACCACCCCTGGGACGGCATGGGAAGCACAAGGGTTGCCCCAACCCAGCCTCCCAGGAGCCTCTTCTACCCTCCCCAGAAACCCCCTTCTGTCCCTTGTGCCTGGGGTCCCAGAAGGAATGCAAGCTTTGAGAGTGTAGGAACCTCTCACCTAATATTGCTTTCCTCATCCTGGAACTCTTTAGCCCTTGTCTCAGCCTCCCCCCCCCCCGCCCCCCGCCACCACTTCTCCAGATCAGCAGGACAAGCCTCACTTCTTCATCTTCCTCCACCTCCTTCTCCCAGGGATGCTGTGCCATACACTGGGGGTGAGAGTGGGACTAGGTTGGCAACCATGTAGAATGTCCAGCGAGGCCAGCTTAGGACTGCTGTCCTTCATGTATGTGGCTGCACAGCCCCTGAGTGCCAGCACAGCCTGCAAGGTACAAACAAGGCAGCTAACGCAGGTGGGGCAAGACTGGGACCAGGAGCCTCACCCAGGTGCAGAAGGGAGGGGAACGTCCCAGCCAGGAGCACAGGAGCCCAGGCCAGGCTGCAGAGCTGGGGTAGTGCCCACACCATCTATCTCACTTGCAGCCTGGCAGGGCTGGGCATACAGCTCAGGTGAGTGCCTGGGATCCTCCAGCGCACAGCCTCAGCAGCCGGCATGCTTCTCAGAGGGGGCTCATCACCCTGGCAGGCCAGGACACAGGAAGACCTGCTGTGTAGTGCTGGCTAGAAAATGCTAATTCCAGGGCAAGGAAGTTCAAGCAATGGTCACTGGAAACAGCTGAGTGCTTGGTAGACATAAAGTCCCCTGACCTAGGTCCAGTTCCATTCCCAACTGCACTTTGCACCTGAATTCAGGACCCCTTGGCTGCCCCTGTGCCCCAACCTCACTGGCCCCTGAGCATACCGGATGCTGCTGCTTCCTCCCTTTGCTCATAAGGTCCCCTCATTAGGCAGACATGTCTCCTACCTCTCTCTGCCCAGCCCAAGCCAATCCACCTTTCAGCACCCAGCTGAATCCCCTTCTACGTGGCCTTCTGGTCTCACAGCACCCACCCCTGTGACACATCCTCTGTATCCCTCAGTTACATCCCAAATCACAGTCTCTCTTAAAGAATCCTCTCTGCAGAGGACTCAGACCAGCTGTGTCCCACCTTGCACTTTGTCTTGCATTTTCCCCTGAAGTTCACCAGCACATTCTTGTCGAATGACCCACAGCCTACTTAATCCAACTTAGGCTGCTTGTTGGTACACCAGGGAGGGATTATTAAAGAAGCAGTGGCACTGAGTGGGGTTCACCTGGGAAGGCTGCCTGGAGGAGGAACCCATTGTAGTAGTTTGGAAATAGGTAGAGATTGAAAGGTGTGGTTGAGGTAAAAGGGTGTGTCGGTCAGGCAATGAGATCAAAGCACAGGGGATCCGGAGAAGCACCATGAAAAAGGCTTCCCCATGGTCGCGGGGCCTGCATGCTGCCCCTCTCTGACTCCTGGAGTTTGTATGGGAGTTGGGGTCAGCCCCAGCAGGTGCATCTGCTCAGGCCACTGCTCCAGTGCTACAGTCTGAAGCAGTGAAGTCTGGAGGTTCCTGTGGTTTTCTTGCATCCACTGATCCTGATGCTCCTAGGCAGGTGAAGGGGAGTCAGCACTGCGTAAGCATGGCCCTGTGTGCATCACAAGTCCTAGGCCGCTAGGGACCCTTGCGTGCCTACCCCAGGCTATTCTGTAGCAATGCCTGGGCAGTGCAGCTGCTAACACACACCAGGGACTAGAGGGCAAGACCGGGGCAAACCTGACTGCCAAGGCACTTGGAGGCCTTCGGCTGTCCACAGCCTCAGAAAGGAAGTGGAGAAAGTTCATTGCATCCATTACAGCCCCAGGGCAGTGCTGCCGCTGACCCTACCAGACCCTCCTTGCTGTCCATCTGGCTTCAGTTCCTCTCTCTCCACCCTTCTCCCCTCCTGCTTCTCCCCCAGTCTCATTATTTCTATATAAAGTTGGAGATTCATCATGATAATAGAGTTGTCTTCACCAAGGTTTGCTAACATCTCCGTAATCTTGTAGTTATTGCCACAGAGGCGCCAGACCCCAGTGCACACAACAATTCCTGTCACTGTTCCCACTCCTGCACTGCCACAGTGGGAGCTGGAGGCCATAATTGGGGCCATAAATATGTGTTGGGCTTGGTGGTAGTGCTCATGGACTAGCCAGTTTCCTGCCTCACCAGGGCCCTGCTAGGTCAGTGTGTGTGTGTGTGTGTGTGTGTGTGTGTGTGTGTGATATTGGGGGTGACACACTGTTCTGTATGCTTCCAGGAAACCTGCATTTGGGACCTGCAGGGAGGAAGGGTAGCCATAAGTAGCATAATACCCCCTAGGCCAGGGATGAGTAGAGCTATAATAGCAAGAGCTCAGGCTATGGTGCTGAGCTAACTTGTGTTGCATTCTAGCTTCTTCAGTTGCAACATCAGGAAAATGGGGGCAGTAATGGTATACAGGGCATTGCAGTGTTCTGCAATGAACACTTACATGAAATGAAACAGACTGGCTACACAGCTCAGCTTTGTCCATTCTGCAGATGTCTTCCCTGCTGGCTCAACTTTGGGCTGCTTTCATACCTCTCTGGGCTTGGCCTGGCTCCAGTACAGGCTACCTGTTCTAACTTCTTGGTGGAACAGCATTGTTCCAATTTCCTTCCTTGTCTTAGATGTGTCTTGTGTTTACTGTGTAACCTTGGAATAGCGACGGCTGGTTTCTGGGCTGTAGTTTACCAGTATTAAACCATCTGTAAAGTTGTAGGGTTCTCCCCTAACCAAGAAAAGAGAGAAGACGGAACAGGTCAACCAACCATCTCAGCTACAATGGACTATGTCAATCAGTGGATTTTTCAAAGACCTCATAGTGCTTGGAGTGGCAAGATTGGTAGCGATTCATAACTGTTGAAATATCAAA